ACCCCATGGCGCACTCCCTAAGTCGCCCCCTTGGTGCACCACCAAAATCTTCTACTTCGGTCCGGCATGACCCCGTAAACTGTCCCGACATTGATTCCGGTCAGCTTCTACAACTACAACGGTCCGGCATGACCCCGTAAACTGTCCCGACATTGATTCCGGTCAACTTCTACAACGGTCCGGCATGACCCTGTAAACTGTCCCGACATTGATTCCGGTCAGTTTCTACAATGGTCCGACATGACCCCGTAAACTGTTCCGACATTGATTCCGGTTAGCTTCTACATCGGTCCGGCATGGCCCCGTAAACTGTCCTGCTACCCTAGTCCGACATGACCATACAGTGTCTTCACCAACGGTTCGACACGACCATACAGTGTCTCCTATCCTATTTTATTACTCTCTCCAAACTCAAGTTAGCTAGTACCTATCCTCATTGAGTTTGAGGGGGACTGTTAGTATATTATATTAGTGCTTGTAATGATGTTAGTAGTGTATAGCTGTTAGTAGTGTATATTTCAAGTTAGCTAGTACCTATCCTCCTTGAGTTTGAGGGGGACTGTTAGTATATTATATTAGTGCTTGTAATGATGTTAGTAGTGTATAGCTGTTAGTAGTGTATATTTCATTTACTTTTACTTTACTTTATTAGTGCCACTTTCGGCCACTTTAAACTCCCACTTTTGACTCCTCTCCTATATAAACGAGCTCAATTGAACCTTTCTAATACAACAATCAATAACATCAATATATACCCAATTTATTTTCTCTTTATCAATTTATCTTACACCACCAATGGATCCAAAAACAGGAGGAATGGCGAGGAGGGAGAGTGTTATCGAGCACAAGGTACACGCGAGGGTAGGACTCCTTGGAAACCCTAGCGATGTCTACTATGGCCGCACTATCTCTTTCAGCCTCTCAAACTTCTCTGCCTCCGTCCGATTACAGCCCTCTCACGACCTCATCATCTCCCCTCACCCTACTCACGATCTCGTCCAATTCCATTCCCTCCCCCATCTGGTACTGTGTGTGTGTGTGTGTGTTCTGATTGGGTTTATTGATCTGATTTACTCTCATCGTTGATACTTTATATTGTTGTTGAGCGATCTGCGAAATTTTGATCGACTCTATTGATGGCACTTGCTTGCTAGCTACTCCTTTGTATGTTGATTAGATTTTTATTTTAATTGTATGATTAGAGCTTCATTGGTAAATTTATTTACTTATTTTTAGTTACATTTATTGTAGAAATTTTTTATGAATTGGAACTTGATGATTCCTAGGTAATGTTTTAAATTCTGATTAGGTTTTTTTTTTATTTTTTATGGGATTATTAGCGTTATTTGTTTTGGGGCTTTGTTATTGAATTGGTTATGGGTGGTTGATTTCATTCATCTGATTGCTATCTTTACAATGTGATGACATTGACAGTGACACATAGTTAAAACAGCTGAAGCATTCATTCCCTACTGTGAAATGGTCTCTTTTATGTCACTTACTGATTCGACATGGGTGCTTCACTCATTTTGAATATGTTACTTAGAGGAATGGGAATGGAAAGGTTGTGTACGCCACATGCTCTAAAATGTGGTATGATAGGGGTAGGGTTGTATAGATGACATTATTAGAATTTAACAGACTAATAATTACTAAATATGATAGCAATCACATTTTAATAGTTAGACATTCAATAAAATATAGTCATAAAATAAAAATGAAAAAAATACAATTCTAGAAATATTACCGTTCATTCGTTCTATATTTGGTAATGCAAACACTCCATTCTCTCTAAATTTTAGTTAATTATATTTGTTTTTTTTTTCCCTCCCATAAAATACATTTAAAGAAATATATAGGATCAATTTTGGGATCGCTAAATTTTCCGTTTTGAAACAAAAGTGTATCATATTTTGGAGCGTGTTCCAAAAGTTAGCACTATTAGGAACTGTGAAGTAACGACATAACGTGTTTCACCCCCTTGTCAAGCAATTTACTTTACTCTCTCTCTCTCTCTCTCTCCCTCTCTCTCTCATAAGATTACTTGTATTGATTTTTATTTTTTTTAGAAAGTAATTGTGAAATGCACGAACTATTTGGACTAAACTTGAGCTTTTTGAAGCTCATTGTGATTGGAGGTTACCTTGAAACTCTTGTTGTTTGGGAAGGGAGGAGGTGGGGATTCCTGTATTTCTATCTGTAATTGAGAAAATTGTTTGTCGAAAAGTAGGGATTTGATTCCTCGTTTTTTGATGTTCCTCGTGCCTGTGCATGCATATGTAAAAATAAATTGATAGAGAGAGAATAAATTGTATGTATTATGATTGATTTTTATTGATTTCTATTACAATGATTCATGATTCCTATATATAGAAGAGGGTGAGTGTGTAGTAGGTAAGGAGTAGGTGAAGTGGAGGTGGTAGTGGTGTAGTGGGTTAGGTTTAGTGGAGTAGGTGAGATGGTAGTGGTGTAGTGGGTTAGGTTTAGTGGAGTAGGTGAGATGGTAGTGGTGTAGTGGGTTAGGTTTAGTGGAGTAGGTGAGATGGTAGTGGTGTAGTGGGTTAGGTTTAGTGGAGTAGGTGAGATGGTAGTGGTGTAGTGGGTTAGGTTTAGTGGAGTAGGTGAGATGGTAGTGGTGTAGTGGGTTAGGTTTAGTGGAGTAGGTGAGATGGTAGTGGTGTAGTGGGTTAGGTTTAGTGGAGTAGGTGAGATGGTAGTGGTGTAGTGGGTTAGGTTTAGTGGAGTAGGTGAGATGGTAGTGGTGTAGTGGGTTAGGTTTAGTGGAGTAGGTGAGATGGTAGTGGTGTAGTGGGTTAGGTTTAGTGGAGTAGGTGAGATGGTAGTGGTGTAGTGGGTTAGGTTTAGTGGAGTAGGTGAGATGGTAGTGGTGTAGTGGGTTAGGTTTAGTGGAGTAGGTGAGATGGTAGTGGTGTAGTGGGTTAGGTTTAGTGGAGTAGGTGAGATGGTAGTGGTGTAGTGGGTTAGGTTTAGTGGAGTAGGTGAGATGGTAGTGGTGTAGTGGGTTAGGTTTAGTGGAGTAGGTGAGATGGTAGTGGTGTAGTGGGTTAGGTTTAGTGGAGTAGGTGAGATGGTAGTGGTGTAGTGGGTTAGGTTTAGTGGAGTAGGTGAGATGGTAGTGGTGTAGTGGGTTAGGTTTAGTGGAGTAGGTGAGATGGTAGTGGTGTAGTGGGTTAGGTTTAGTGGAGTAGGTGAGATGGTAGTGGTGTAGTGGGTTAGGTTTAGTGGAGTAGGTGAGATGGTAGTGGTGTAGTGGGTTAGGTTTAGTGGAGTAGGTGAGATGGTAGTGGTGTAGTGGGTTAGGTTTAGTGGAGTAGGTGAGATGGTAGTGGTGTAGTGGGTTAGGTTTAGTGGAGTAGGTGAGATGGTAGTGGTGTAGTGGGTTAGGTTTAGTGGAGTAGGTGAGATGGTAGTGGTGTAGTGGGTTAGGTTTAGTGGAGTAGGTGAGATGGTAGTGGTGTAGTGGGTTAGGTTTAGTGGAGTAGGTGAGATGGTAGTGGTGTAGTGGGTTAGGTGTCTTATTGTGGATTTCATTCATGTGATTTTCTTATTTTAGAACTCACTGGCTCAAAGATATCCTTTATTTAATACTTCTCCATATATGCAATTAACAAATAATCATCAACACGTAATATTTGCTGAAAATAATATAGAATCTTGTGCTTTACTTGTTAGCCTTAATTACTACATCTCATTATAATATTCCCATATGTTTAGTTAAATATATGGAAGAATAAAATTGAAAACCTCGACTGTTGTGCACTGGTCAATCTTTTACGCTCAAGCATTCTGATTTATTTAATAAAAAGTTGTAGAATACTTGAGATTGAGAAACTTAGGCTGTGTTTGGCTAGCTTCTACAAACATATTTCAACCCTTTGTTTTGAGTGTCTTGTTTGTTTAGAGTTTTTAAAAATCAGGCTCTGTTTGGTGGGGCTTTTGAAATTTAATTCTACCCCTTAGTTTGAGTGTATTGTTTGGTTATAGCTTTAGAAAATTAATTTCACACCCATTTTTCAAAACACCAATTTTTCAATATTATATGTCACATCACTCAATTCAAACTATTTTTAAAACTCATAACTAAACAAATTTTTCACACTCAAATTATAATTTCAAAACTCACAAACTCAAAATATAACTCTATTTTCAAATCATAATTCTAAAACTCTACCAAATGCAACCTTAATTTCACACCCACTTTTGAAAACTCTTTCTAAGGCTGGAAAATTTAGGCTAACCCGTTGGCCTCCCAGACGTCCGGCCGGTTGACCGGAACAATGCTATTTTATTTATTTAATTTTTTTTTTTACAACTGACACCTGTTATTTTTTATATTTTAAATATAAAAAAAAAATCGGAATTTTTAAAAAAAATTTATGAGCTTTGAATAGAATTTTGAGTTGTGTGTTTGGTTATGAATTATAAGTTTTTGTATCAAATATCATATGTCATATCAAAAATTCAAAACTCTTTTCAAAACTCATAACCAAACAAATTTTCCACACTCAAATCATAATTCCAAAACTGACAAACTCAAAATACAACTCTATTCTCAAATCATAATTCTAAAACTCTTCCAAACACCACCTTAAGTGTTCACTTGTTCGAACAACTATAACAACTGTTTGCAGTCATGTTGTTTGATATCATGCCTTGGACTTGCTGAGAATGTAATGGGTTTTGCCTTCCAATACATATATTTATTGTATTTTGCAAAATGGACATCATTGAAACTCATATACCCCCTAAACCACAACTGGTTAGAGTTTTATTCCATTGTTTTGCTTGTAAATGACAACAGGGCACTTGTGTTTCTGTTTACTTATTTTGAACAAAAATAATTTCAACAGTTTTGTGGCTGTCACTATTCTTTCTAGCATACCATGTTGATCAGTACTTCTCACTTTCAACTGTCCATTTTATGGCAAGACATGGCTTAAATTACTATTTATTTTATTTTATTTTATTTTATGTTTCAGACAGGGCTTTCTGGTTCCAGTGCTATTGTATGTGCTGCACTTAACTGCCTTCTTGACTTCTATAAGGTTAGGCATTTGATTAAAGTAGAGGTCAGACCAAACCTTGTCCTCGATGCAGAGAAGGAACTTGGGATTGTTGCTGGTCTGCAGGACAGGGTAGCACAGGTCTATGGGGGTCTTGTTTACATGGTAAGTGAGCTGAAAGCATAGATGTTGTATACATTTTAAATCAGTATCTAAGCCATTAAACTTTTGTTGGTTGTAGGATTTTGGCAAGAAATACATGGATGACTTGGGCCATGGAATGTATACACCCATGGATATCAATCTTCTTCCACCTCTCCATCTTATCTATGCTGAGAATCCAAGTGATTCTGGAAAGGTTAGAATATGGCTCTCTCAATTCCTATCATTTTATTTTATTTTATGTTCTATTCCTTATGGACAAGATAATCTACCTTACACAAAAAATTAAGTAGTTGTACTACATTTCTTAGCTATCCATATTTATGGAGAATTGGACAATCATTTCTAACCTAGAGAAACTCTTTTTGAAAGGGAAACAAACATGATATGGGCATGAAATTTAGTATGAAAATAATGGAAATGTTACACTTTTGAGAAATGTTTTAAATATGTTTTGGGGTAATGTATTTGGAAATTGAATTGAAACTGTAAAAGAAATTTACGAAAAACTGAGAAGAAACTTTGCGAAAACTACTTGGAAATTCTTAAACTACGCAGAAATTACTCTAGAAAAACTTTAAAATATGATACTGTTGTAAATATATGGATTAATGGAAGACCACCATGATCTTTTCAAGGCATATGTTTAAGAATGTGCTCAATGTTAGCACAAGCTACATATATGCATCTTGGCCAGAGGGGGCCACAATCACTACTTTAGAATTAGAGTTGAGTTGATTTTTACAGTAGGTCTTCCATTTTAGATAATATAATATGGTATGAACTTCTCTGATTTTTTGAAGATAGACAAACTTTTAAAATAATAATAAAAGCCACGTTTCCAGTGATCTCGTGTCTATCGTTTTTGTTAGAGAACCTTGATTTGTGATGATATCTGCTGTGTTGTAAAAGGTTCCTGGCAACTTCTCTTCACACTCCTTTTTTGTCAGAAGGTTGTTCTTTTGGCATACTATTATGGACTTTGATTTTCTTGTTTGGTTGAAAGCTATATATTGATTGCACATAACATATGTTAGTAGATTTTTATAATATACGTTTGTGGCACAAGCAACTTTGTGGCATGAGGTTAGGCTAGAAATCTGCTTTCTGTCATCTAAATTGTGGGTTCCAGAGGATTGCATCCAATATTGGGTTGGAATGCCCATTTTTCACAAAATATTTATCTATGCAGGTACACAGCACAGTCCGGAAAAGGTGGCTTGATGGTGATAAGTTCATAATATCGTCAATGGAATTAGTTGCAAATATAGCTTTAGAAGGACAGACAGCCTTATTGGAAAAGAACCATACCAAATTTGCAGACCTCATGAACCGTAATTTTGACCTTCGAAGGTAAAGTACCTGTGGTATCCAACAGTTTTAAATGACAGTCGGGTGAACATGCTATTTCTGCCACCTGAATTGTAATGCCGAATCATTCCTCACAAATAGGCACATATTTCATTTATTATTGAACTAGTTTTTGGACCTTACACAGGGCCATGTTTGGAGACGATGCTCTTGGTGCTTTAAACATAAAGATGGTGGAGACAGCTCGAAGTGTGGGTGCTGCAGCAAAGTTTACTGGTAGTGGTGGTGCTGTGGTCGCATTCTGTCCCAACGGACCTTCACAAGTAAAGCTTCTAGAGGATGCGTGTCAAAAAGTTGGATTTGTCATTCAGCCGATTGAAGTGGTTCCTTCTTGTCTAAACGAGATTGAACTGAAAACCCTATCACCACAGTAGATGTAACTTGAGATCAAGGTGCTCCTATTTCCTTCGATCTATTTCTTACCCTAAAAAAGCCCCCCCACCATTTTCCTTGGTTGAACCTTGATAGCCATTTTTTTAAAACTAAACTAAAAAACTGTAATTATATTTTAGTAAGTAGTGAAATGTCTAGCACATGAATTGGGATCAGTTACATTGTTAAGTGTTACATTTTCTTTTTTATCACAATATTCCAAGTTAGCATTTTCATTTAACAGTGATTTATTGTTATTTTTGGGTATGCAGAGCATTACTTTTACTGAAGAGTATTATCTACCATTAATTTAAAAGAACAAAAAGATTGGATATGTATCTTCAAAAGAAAATCTTCCTTGCCAAAATAAATTACAGCGAAAAAAAATCTTCTTTCACTCAGAAGATGGATACTTCCATTACACAAAACTTGCTCAATCAGATTACTTTTTTTGGATGATTCAATAGCCATCTCTGAGAAAGAAGAATCTACGGTAACAGCAGTTTTTACTGTAATATGCTTTGCATTGTTGCTATGATTCAGTGGTTAACATACAGAAGACCTGATTTGAACTCCCTTCTCTGAGCACTCAGCTGCCCGGTTCCATTAATTATCGCACAACGATGACAAGAGCTCATGTGGCGATGCCCAAACTGGAAGATCAAGTAATGATTGCTTCATGCTCTCCTCTTGCAAATTGCAAATGGCTTCGGCCATATCACAAAGGTTAGACACACTTTGAATAACTGCTTCTTCTGTTTCTGCCTGCAAAATGCGAAGTTCAGAGCCAACCACCAATCACAACAAATCTCAAATCTTCTGGGGCTTTAAAATTTGAACAATATTTAAAACTGCTACAATTAATTAATTTGCTGTTCAGCACGATTAGCTCTGTTTGGCTGCTGAGAAATTATGTGAAAGAAAACAGACTGAAATTTTCAATCTTTTTTTTTTAAATACCCAACTGCTCCTAATTGCATACTTGGTTTAGCTGGAACTGCGTTTTCCCATTATCTGCAAACCAAAACAAATAATACGTGATAAAATATTTTAATCTTTTAATTTTTTTTTTACTCCTATTTATTTTCTTTCATTTTCCGCAGTTTTCTGGGCAACCGAACAGTTAGAATGAAAAACGTAAACTTTACCCGATGTAACAAGTCGTCGAGGAGTCGTTCACCGCCAGTGTCCGACGACTTCTCCGACAGGGCCGGCGGCGGCGGCGTCTGTTCGTCGCATTGTTGTTGGTTTTGGGATTTCTCTTGCAATGCCCTCAACATGTTTGATAAATGTTCCCACTGGTCAATCTCTTTCTGGTACTTGTCTCTTAGTTTCGTCAGTGCCCTTTTCTTCCTTTCCCTTCGGTTCTTCTCTTCCGCCGCCGGATCTGGTGGCGGAGGAGGAGGCGCGGAGGAGGAGGAGGAGGAAGAGGTGGGGTTGAGGCGACGGCGCTTCTTACGCTTGTAAACGAAACCATCGGCGTTGATAATAAGCTCCCACTCGTCTTCTTCCCACTCCGCTGTGGCCATGAGAGAGCGGGAAAACTAACAAATAGAAAGTGAATGAAAACCGCCAATTTGGAAAATGGAGGGAATTCACATATCGATATGTGGATGGAGGAGAGAGGAGAGAGGAGAGAGGAGAGAGAGATAGTTAAAAAAAAAATGTTTGGTGGGTATGAGAAATTGAATTGAAATTTTAATTGGTCCGTACTTTAGTATTTTCTTCATGCTTGTCTTTATCATAACATTACAAAATTAATTAGGCAAATGCTAATAGGGAAATTATTATTTATTTCTAGGATAAGTTAGGGTGATGCTCTAACTTAATTGTTGTTAGTTGAATTAATGGGATGTATTATATTTTTGTTTTTTTAGGAGACAATACTTTTAATAAATGGTGTGGAGTAATATTTTAAAACAAAAAAAAGAGTAAAAAATAATCGTTTTTTTGAAAATTTTAACACAAGACAATGTTGCTGTTTGATGTAACTTATTGTAAATTAAAAATTGATAATATTTGTTTTTTAATAAATGGTGTAGAGTACTATTTTAAGACAAAAAAAGGGTAAATAATACTAATTTTTTTTATAAAAAAATTTAACACAAGATAGTGGTTCTGTTTGGTACGGTTTATTGTAAGCTAAAAGTTGATAATCAAAAATCAGAAACCAAAAAATTCATTCTCCAACTTTTAAATAATCAATTTTTCTTAACATATTTAAGTTATTTCTGCCTAAAAAACTACAGACAAAAGTTACACTAAATAGTTTGGCATAGATTTCTAAATTAAAATAAATTATAATCACCTCTATAATCCACGCTAAACACCCCGGTGTATATTATTAGAATTAATTGCAATGTTTTATTCTTAAATATTGTGTGATTTTGATTTTTAATATTTTAATTATGTAAATTTAATTATTATTTTTAATATATAGAAAATGAGTAAGGTTAGGAGTATCAAATGAATTATTAAAATTTCACCAAATAATCACATAATAGTGTAATTTATATGGTATTCCTATTTATTTATTTATTTATTTATTATATATTTTATGGAATGACAAATTACATTAACAGTCCTTATAATTTAAGATTTGTATCGCTTTGATCTCTAATTTTTCAATTGCAATACATTTAACTCTGAATTTTAAATTTTGTTCAAAATAAGGACAATTGAAGATATCATTACTTAATTTTAATGAAAAAATTGTCAAGTTGTAAAATATAAACTAATTTGATAAAAATAAATGTCAAAAAAATATTTTAAAATTATTTTTATCCACTAAAGTTAAAATTATGTAAAATTGATAAATTTTTTAGACATATATTTATTTTTTTTATGAAATTGATTTTTATTATGTATTTGGATTGGATGATGATCATATAATAAGTGATTGTTTTTATTTTTATTAAATTAATTTCTGTTTTTTAAAAGTCAAATATGGTGACAACTTTGATATCATTATTAAATCAATTTGTTTAAGGAAAATGTTTGGTAGCTCAAAATTATGTGGCTCAAATGGTTCAAATCTGTCAAAACGACGTCGTTTTACACTCAAAATCTGTCAAAACGACGTTGTTTTGAGTGATTTGAATCATTTGAACCACAAAATTTTGAGCTACCTAGCATTGTTGTTTATTAAATAAAAAATTTCATGTATTAAATATATAAATTACAAATTAAAATCTTAACAATTACTCATTACATGATTATCATCTAAACATATAATAAAAATTAATTTGATAAAACAAATATATAAATAAATGTCTAAAAAATTTATTAATTTTACATAATTTTATTTATGATGGGTAAAAATATTTTTTTAATATTTATTTTTATCAAATTAATTTATATTTTATCAAATTAATAATTTTATATTTAAGTAAGTAATAACTTTTAAGGAAAATTTACCCATAAGTCCTAGTTTCTGAAAAGTTGAACCATTTAGTCCTAAAAGTTTTCTTATGCTCCATTTAGTCCCATTTGCACATCAATCTAATGTTTGAAACATTAAGCTGATGTTCGAAATCTAATGTTCGAAACATTAATCTGATGTTCGAAATCTAATGTTCGAAACATTAATCTGATGTTTGAAACATTGTAATGGGACCTTTCAATCTATAAGAAAACTTTTAGGACTAAACAGTGTATAAGTTATTAATTTAGGATTTATTGGTGCATCTCCCTAACTTTAATTATCCTTATTTAAAATAAAATTTAAAAATAAGATCAAATATGTCGTGAAAAATCATAACATATTCGCCCTTGATGAAATTTTGAAGCACTCATCGTGAGGGTGCATACGAAGTGCAGTAGCAGTCGAAAGTTCATTTCATTACATCACAGAGATCAAACCAAACCTAATCATAAAAACACGCACGAATTGAGAATAAACGGCAATGCAAAACTGATGAATCAACCATGAAGTCAATCTACTTATCCCACATTTCTCTCATCTTCCTCCGCCATAAACCTAAACCTAAACCTAAATCTAAACCCAGACCCCTACTGGTACTACTTCCCTCAACACTCTCTCTCCTCCACTCCAATCCCATTCTTTCACCACGACGACCCTTTTCCACCACTTCAACCCCATACCCACTTCAATACGATCTCATAATCTCTCGCTCCAACTCTTCACCCAATCCCCGCCACCGCCAACCCCTCCAAATCCCTCAATCCAATCCCACCGACTCGCCAAACTCAGACCCCGATTCAGAATTAGGATTCGATGACTGGGTCGATCGGAAACTAACATCCCCATCCTCGGAAACCGATAAACTCAGACCCGTATTATTGGGTGATTTAGAGATGGACAAGTCTAAGAGGAAGTACTTGAATAAGAGGCGGAAGAGAATGTATGGGTCGGACTCTGATGATGAAAATAGGCGTGGTAACGATGACCAGTATGTTGAATTGAAGCCTGAAGTCGTTGAGTTTCGCACATTGCATAAGAGAGAAGAGGAGTTGTATTTCTACGATGCGTTTGCGTATCCTTGGGAGAAGGATAAGCATTATAGGATGGTGTATCAGTTGGAGAAGAAGTATTTTCCTGATCAGTGTTTCGATAAGGCGTTTCTTCAACCCGGTGAATCGAATTCCAATTCCAATTCCAATTCGAATGCGAAAGTGGATAGGAAGAATAAGAGAATGGGTAAGAGTGGGCAGTTGAAAGATATGGCTGTGGATGGAAGTGATGAGAAGGGTTTGGTTTTCTTTGAGGATGTAGAGAAGGGAATGGATGAGAGAGATAAAGGGTTGGGAAAGGATGTTAAAATTGATGTTTCGGAGAAGAAAGTTGAGGAGTTCTTCAAGTGTTTGAAGAAAGTCCCCAATAAGGATGTTGAAGTTGCTAATGCAGAGCCATTTGTTTCGACAAGGAGTACTGGGCTACCCCCAAAATGGGATAGTCCCAGTGGAACTGTTGTTCTAGTCAATAAACCCAAAGGTGAGTGAATCTTAGCTTTAATTTTTTTTTGTCAAATTTAACATCTTTGTGACGGAAATAGGTATATATATTGATTTTGTTGATCTTTATGGAGCTTTATGTTTGCCTTTGCGACCAATATGATTAATTTCTTCAATTGTTAGGGAGGTATAGGGATTTAGAGTACTATGTGATGTGAACAGGCAGTCAGATTCACTGACTCAATATACAAGGTAGAATTGTTAACATAAAGAAACTCAATGACAGAAAATCCTTCTAGTTATATCAGAGATCAAACGGATGGGTGATACACATTTTCAAGTTTCAACTCATTATTTTTGTTTTGAAGTTTGAAGAGTACTGTTGGAAAAACAAGGTCCTATTATCACCTGAACTAATTCTAGATGCATCTAGGTTATTGTGAATTTTGCATCTATTCTGAGTGGAATATATTAATTTCTATGTTATTTTTGGGGGGTGAAATAGAATTACTACATGTTGATTTGTCTGTTAAAATATTCCAGAAGATAATTATAGTATGTCTGTACAGGATGGACTTCATTTACAGTTTGCGGAAAGCTGCGCCGGCTTGTCAAAGTGAAAAAGGTGATTGGTCTTTATTAAATCTGGGTGGTTGGCTTTCATATCTCCCACAGAGATGCTTCTCTCAATAATGTATTGTTATCTGTTATAGGTAGGCCATGCTGGAACTCTTGATCCTATGGCAACTGGTCTATTGATTGTATGTGTTGGTAAAGCTACAAAGCTGGTTGATAGGTAAAAATTCAAATATAATCTATTATATTCAACAGCTCTTGAGTTATCTTTTTCTTTTTGACAAGCACCATTGGTATGTGAGCATGCATTCACATCCAAGTGTATGCATTAGATTTGTGGATCCCCTCTTCTGTTAGCATGAACATGAATTAGATTTTGTTCGTCTTCAGGAAGAAATCTTCTGCTCACTAAGAATTGAAAACTTGTGACTACATTATGGCAAAATTGCTCAAATGTACTTTCTTTAAAGGTTCTGAATACATGTTTTGCAGGTATCAAGGTATGATTAAGGGTTATAGTGGAATATTCCGTTTAGGGGAGGCTACCTCAACCTGGGATGCTGATTCACTGGTGTGTTTGTATACTCCAATATTCATAAACTCTTTAGTTCCATTAACTATAATATTCATGCTATTTTCCTTTTTCCTGATATGAAACATGCGAACTAAAATATCCATGCCGCTGTATATGCATTATCCATCTGTTTTTCTTTAAAAAACACCTTTTCAACCCTATCTTTTTTCTTTTACCAAGTTGACTCGGTATTTTTTGAGGTTAGACGAGTACCTATGAGGCACAAACACATCGCACAGGGGGAAGTACATGTGTTGATCATGTGTTGGACACATGCATCTCCATGCCAAAAAAAAGGGGGGGCGGGGGGTGGGGGAGAGTGAGAGAGTGAGAGAGAGGTTCCTTTTTGGTTTTCCTCCTCAAATATGGTTTTAATTGGGTTGATCTCCATAGACTTTTTTAGTTTATAGGCAGAAAGAATGAAATGACAAAAAAAAAACACAAAAAACAAATAAAAGGCCCACTCTATCTTATGTATTTTTGGATCATTGTAAGCTGATTGACAGTCTATTGAGATGAGGCTTACATTTTTGTTGCCTTTATAGAATTGTTGTCCTGAAAAATTTGTCATTCCATTTCAATGTCTCTAATCTTACACCACCCTCTTATTCAGGTCATCCAACGTGAGCCATGGGAACACATCAAAGATGAGGACATAAAGAAAACTGCTGCATCCTTTTGTGGGGAGATATGGCAAGTTCCTCCAATGTTTTCTGCCATCAAAGTAAGTTTTCCTCCTTTATTTTGTTACAAGCTTGCTGAAACAGGAAGAGAGTCGTTGCAAAAGAATGGCATATCAGTTCCAAATGAGTTTTGTCATACAACGAAAGGAAGTGGATTGATCTATTGACTTTTGGTAATAAAAGTTTTTAATTTGGTGGATGAATATGGGACTGAAGTACTGGTATAAGAGTTATTTTCATCCTTATCCTTTTGATTTTTTCATTCAACCTTTTTTGTCCCTGCTTATGGTGTAATAAGGTATTTTTGAGATATAACTTTCTTCTTCGGCTTTTATTGGCTCAATTTTGGCATTGCTTGTATAGTATTTTGATGTAGATGATCATGCATAGTGCATATGGTTGAAGTGAGGTTACATTTAGCTAAGTTACTTCCTTTGAGACTAAATTTTGGCATCAATTGCATATTGTATTGTATTAAAACCAAAAGAATATAATTGAACTTTGACAATACTTGGATGTAGATTGTTGCCTATAGCACAGTTCAGTTAAGTAAAGTTACATATAGGTTAGTTACTTAAGTTTGACTTAATGTTACATGAACAAGTTGTGAACCTTTTGGACGCAACATCACAAGGGTGGGAACATGCACACTACCATTTTGAAACTAGATATGCACTTAAAGTCAAAATGCATTGCCAGTAGGAGTGTTAAACAGAGAACGGAATTTTTTTTATATTTCTTTGCTTCATGTTTACTTGGATATACAGACCCAGTTATTGTAGCGTGATGGAGATGAAGTATTGATACATAACCAAAAAATGAAAAAGACCAGGCAAACAGGAAGAACAAAAAATGATAAAAGCGCACACACACAGACCCTTTGCTTGTCAAAGGTTGTAAGATACAAATATGAATGCAAACCTGAATTCAGCTGTGTTCTTTTTGCCTAGAATTTGAGAAGAAAATGTATGAAACACATCCATGTGGCATTAACTAGGATTGATAATCATATCATTTTATTTATTTATTCATAGGAAATTGCTCACAAATTTTTAGGTTGTAATTATTCCTTGTGAGATATATAATTAATATTTTCCTTCACGTTCCTTAGAATTATGTGTGACGATGATATGGTATTGAAATGGTATTGTGTGGTTGTATGATTGCTTATATGTTTCTACACCTTGTGATAGGTTGGGGGTGAGAAGATGTATGAAAAAGCAAGAAGAGGAGAAAGCATTGAACTTTCACCGAGGCGGATTTCAATTTTCCAGTTTGATATCGAGCGAAGTTTAGATGACAGGTTGTCTAAAGCTCAGCTTGTTGCTTCTGTATAACCTATTTATCACATTAATGTTGTCATGTACTAATTGTGGGTTTTGTATATGGTGGTTCTGCTAGCCTGAGATGGATCTTATTTTGAATTCTTGCAATTCTTTCTTTCAGTGATAAAAACAAATAAATGTCATGCTAATTGTGCTCAAATAATTTCACATTGGTGATTACCCTTTGAAAATTAGATCAAACGCAGTTTGAAAATGAAAATAAATTAATATTCCGGAACTTTTGAGAACCTTTCTCTCATTAGTGGGAAACAAAGATATAATTTATGTGTATGGTTTATGAAATAAATGTCATGCTAATTGTGCTCAAATAATTTCACATTGGTGATTACCCTTTGAAAATTAGATCAAACGCAGTTTGAAAATGAAAATAAATTAATATTCCGGAACTTTTGAGAACCTTTCTCTCATTAGTGGGAAACAAAGATATAATTTGTGTATGGTTTATGCATATTAGGAAAAGTGTCTATATGAACTAACAAAGGACATTGACTGATGAAGTTGATATGTTACGTACTATCAGGTAGCAATAATCTTTTTGTTTTTGTAAGTTTGTCTTATTTTTTGTCTTATTTATTGCAGACAAAATTTGATTTTCCGGGTGACATGCTCAAAGGGGACATATATTCGATCTCTTTGTGCAGATCTTGGGAAGGCTCTGAACAGGTAGTGTAAATGGTCAATTCTCATTTATCAAAAAAAAAAAAAGTCAATTCTTATTTTTTGTGCCTGTGTGATTTCTTTGGTCATTGTTCTAGCATCTCTCTCTCTCTCTCTCTCTCTCTCTCTCTCTCTCTGTGGTCGTTCCACTGAAAGAACGGACTGTTTCTTTGACTTCTGCCCATCTTAATTGCTTTTCAAACAAAAGCTGGAATGATGTGTCATATTGAGATTTAGTTGAGAAAGTAATTATCCAAAACATTGTATAAACATGAGAGCTGCTTCTTTAGAGTTTTTATTACTCTTTACCCTGATATGTATAGAATCTGTTTTCCTTTGTTTACAGATACAAATTCTTCTCAAGATAGAGAATGTCATATTGATTAAAATCTCTATATTGCATTTATATAGCTATTTTCTCCAATCTTCACTTCAGTAGAAATAACCATGACTGAATGTTTTTTTCGCAGTTGTGCTCATTTAATAGCTTTGAGAAGAGATTCAATTGGTAAGGCCGTTTCCTTACACTCAAGTTTCTAGTGTAGTTCCAATCTTTTGCATTGCTTGTTTGCCTTCGTTATATTATCTATATAGGAGTTATATAATTTCAAAATTTTTATGTTGATTGAATGTGAAATCTTGTACAGTAAAAGATGAATTCAATCACTAATGGGTAGTCAAACCCAAAAGATGTTGTGAGGTTCATAAAGCACATTTTTAATCACTAAACCACCCTAGGTGGTCTCTCAATCAAAATCACAGCAATGCAGCCAGGTTTGGATGCCCATATTTGAATCAGAAAAAGTCTACATCCATTTATACTTTTAAACACACACCCATAGAGAGAGTGAGTGTGGAGCCCACATTCGCTCGCACACGCACACACAATGGGCTGTTGAAAACTTGAAATATTTTATGGAAACAAGCATATAGTGTGTATGGTGGATCCAAAACAAAATTGAGCCAACTTTAGGATTGAATAGCTGCACTCAAATGTAGCCCCTGTTAGAAAAGTGTCTGATGGGAAAATGGAGATTGGAGGGTTTGTTGAACTCTATAAAACCATCCCTTTCAAAGAATTAAGGGGTCAAAATGAAGATGTTTCTATTGGATGAGTAGTGAGAAAAAGAAAAAAAGAAAAAGGGTTATGGTATGAAAACAAATGTACTTCGCAGCATGATTAACAATGAAAAACAATTTTATTTGAGGTCTTTTCCTCTACCCTATTTTTGAAGTGCATTGTTAATGGTTACTCATTTTTTTCTGGTGCAGGGCAATATTCAGCTGATGATGCATGGGATTTCAAAGAATTAGAAGAATCAATCACCAAAGACTATCTATAATTTATTATTATTATTTATTTATTATTATTATTTTTTGGTTGCTGCTGCTGCGTCCCAAAACTATCTGAAGCAGCAACATTGATCAATCTGAAGCAGCAACATTGATCAAGGAACACCCTTTTTTTCTGGTGCAGGGCAATATTCAGCTGATGATGCATGGGATTTCAAAGAATTAGAAGAATCAATCACCAAAGACTATCTATAATTTATTATTATTATTTATTTATTATTATTATTTTTTGGTTGCTGCTGCTGCGTCCCAAAAATATCTGAAGCAGCAACATTGATCAAGGAACACCCTTTTTAGTCCTTTATTCTTGTATGCATGTAACAGCTGCTTCTGCATTTTATTTGTTCTTGGGTGAAAATTGTGAATGTAAAATGCTGCTGTTCCTGTGATTGTTTCTGTCATGGGATGGTTATTTCAAAATATTTACTTGTAGGTCAGTTTATGTATATATGTACTACACTCTGCATACCTATGAATGTGCTACAAAAATTAACCAATTGAATGTACAAGGAGAACAAAAAAAATTGCCAAGTAATCAAAATTTGAGGTAGTTATATAGAGGTAGTTTTACAGTGACAGTTTGGAATGGACATTAATGTGATTGGTAGTTCACGTCGATGGAGTTGTATGTTTTATATATACAAAAATGCTATAGACCATGAAAATGTATCATGAATCTTATCCTGAAAATAAGTGTGGTATATATATAAAGTTAGTCTCGCAATGATAGTAAACCATTGATTGATTTCTCTTTTTGGGTAATTTTTTTAAGTTTGTAGTATTGCTGTTTAGTCAAGAATCTACATGCACATACAAGTTTTTGCAGCCTTAGGTCCAGGCTACACATAAAACACAAATCCTGAACACATTGGCATCCCAAAATTCTACATATCCCTGGACAGTTAGAAAGCCAATACTAGCCCAAGCAACAAGGCTTGAATCTGTTGATTTGAGTACTTCTAATTTTGCCACCAACATTGGCAAATGAAACATCAAATGAGAAGCCCCTAATACCAACAATACAATATGGTAAGTAATTTTAAAGGTCAATTGATTTGAAAGACATGCAATGATGAAAATTTCTTGTTGCTTGAGTAATAACTTCCCAAATAATGTTAAGAGATAATTCTAAAGTACTCTGATTCTCTTCATTACCCAAGCAAAAAGGAGACAATGCCATGTAAGGAAACTTTGAAAAACTTAAAAAAAACGAACAATGAGTCTCTTCTTTGCTTCTCAAGCTACCACCATGACTATAGAACCCTGAGAATGGATTGGCAGCTTCGAAACCTCCACTAAGATAGTTGTCTATATGTCTGTCCAACGAACTGTGGAATTGGGTGGATCAATTCCCATCACCTCATAATAGACCCTCTCTGCTGCAATCATTCTATCCTGAAACATCGACCACTCTCTTCTACACCTCTCCCTCACCTGAAACAAAGAGAGTAGAAAATTTAAGGCACTTCTTGTCACATTAAATGCTCTCCAGTACGCATGTGATTTACTCCACAAGTGAATATGATAACATGAAAAGAAATGTGAAAGCTGTTGAATAGCTTGATATACATTGTCAAGCGCCCATTTCTTAATAGCTTTTGGGCTAATTGGTGACTTAACATGGTATCAAAGCTCAGGTTGAGAGGTCTTGGGTTCAAATCTCTTCATTTTCATTTGATATTTGATTTGGTTTCTTCTTCTCTGTTTGACTTTTAACTTTTGGAATAATTGGTGACTTAACAAAACTGAAATGGAAAGAGCAAGGATACATGCAAAAGCTAGGAGTCAAGGACAAGCAAGTAAGAGTCAGCCCAACTGAAGGAAATTTAGTTATAAACGAAGAAAGATACATTCCAACCCCTCCTAAGGTAAGGACATGTGTGCTGCTCTCATTGATAGAGCTCATGTGTGAATTAATTACAATACATAACCATAGTAGTGGATAAACAGAAACTGAGGTGTTTGGTACATACACCTTCCCATGGTGCCTTCCCATTCTCAGCTCGACCCTGTTGAAAGAAGAAATCAGGGTTACATATTATTCCTCACGCAATACATATGCCAACAGTGGTTGAAGGCTTGGGTTTTACCTGGTTCCCAAGTGAAGGAACAGTCTGATGAACAATCCACTGAGAATCTACCACTCCTATCTTCTCATGAGCAGGCTGTTCTCCATAGAAAATATGAGAATGAAACAAGGAACTTGAGGGTATTTATAAGCCAGAGCTAGCAATGATTAGTGAAAGTAAATTGCCAAGAAGCACATACATTTCTAAGAAGGTGGTGTGTCTGTAAACACTGACACCTGTCATATTATTTTTAAATTTTTTTTGACTTGAACATGTTTCAGACTTGTGTCCACCACTTAAACAAACATGAAACACGTTATAAATTTGAACAATATAACTTGGCAGATACAATAATATAAAAATAATAATGTAGATTTATATATTAATCCCCCCTCATAAACTTTAAGAATTAGTATTATGTTACATTTTTTATTATTATCTTCGTATAAAATACTCGTATATATGACATACAATAAATATATAAAACTATATATTTTGCACATGTCTCCCATGTGTCTTGTTCCAAATTTTTTGAAAATTGCCAAATGAATATTAAGGATATGAAACATGTGCCGCAAAGAACACTCTGAATATATCCTTTACGTGTCGCGTGTCCATGTCTATGCTTCTTAGGTAAAAAGTGACAACTCACCTCTACACATTTTCGAAGAGCGAAATCAAGACCCCATCCATGAACCAAGTCATTCTGAATTTACAAGATAACGATTTTAAGACTTCACTAAGACAGCTTAAGCTTGTCATTCTGCTTCCTCTTGGGAAGACAAGGATTGACAATAAATTGAACATGAAGATAATGCTTCTTACCTGCATCATATGCCAAGCACAGCGCCATGCACCTCGAGAAAACACAGGTGCCATGATTTCAACAAATCTGTGAATTGTAATGCAGAAGTATTCAGTAAGACCAATTTACCCAATGCAGAAATTATGGGGCAAGCAGAGCATATGTTTTGAATGATATTTTATAGATGTAAAACTGTATACATACGCTGCGCATGGTGGCAAATGTGGATCAGCGCACCAGCCAGGCCTTTCCTCTGTTTCTCTGACAGGGAAAAAATAACAAAATTAAAAGACGACCAAGAAAGAGCAACGGATTTGTCCAATAAAGCAAGTCATAAATGCAGGTCAGGGACTAAGAGAGTTCCATTGTTCTCACTTGTGAACTTCGGTGTCTTCCTTCTTCCTAGTCATCTGCCATGTAAAACCACTACTTGGTTCCAAACCAGGCTGCGAAATCTCCAATCCGTGCTTCCTCACCAGTTTAATGTATCTGCATTACGCAATAATAAAAAAAACCTTAAATCATGATTCATTTAAAATGCATCTCCACTCACAAAAGGATGTTGAAATATTCACTCACTCCTCTGCATCAAAATGCTCCAACCCAAGGTCCTCATCCCAGATAAATATATAGTCATAGGGTGCCACAATGTCAGGATGTAAAAAACGTTTGGCATACCACCTTGCACCAATTTCAGGAAGTTTGGTCAAATTAAGTAAATAAATAGAAAGGGAACTCAAACAGGCTTTAACAAACATCCACCATAGCCTATCAGAATGAAGTTAGTAGGTAGAAAGAAAATGTTTAAGACCCCTAAAAAAAAGCTTCCACAATTTGGCCTACAATAATATGACAAGATAGATGTCAACTTTTGATTTGTTACACACTCCACCATGTAGGGCCTAACTCCCTTGCCACATCATTGTGGATGAATTTAGGAGTCTAAATTATGGATCTCTAGCATTTCTTGTAGGCATAATGGCATAAAAATATTTACCATTTAGTTTGCTTCCGAACACTAACGTGGATAGCCCGCTTTGACCACTCAAATTCTTCCCACTCACTTGTTCGACCATCATAATGAAAAAGCAGAATGGTGAAGTTCTCTGAGAACTGTAAAAGCATGTTAAGTTGTTGGTACATAAAAACACAAGGAGAGAGAGAGAGAGAGAGCATCCTAACCTTTTTTACAGCTGCATCGATATTGTTTCTCTGATCATAACCAACAGTAAAGGTTACAAGATACTTTGGCCTGAGAACTAGGTCCTGCAAGCATTACCTTTCGCAATCAATTAACATAATTTAAGGCCATCTATTTGAAGAAAAAAAAGAGAGAGTCATTTGTGGGATGATTCTGACTGATTATTGGACAGATGACCCTTTACCAGATACCAATTGCAAGAGATTTGCATTACCATCAAAATCATTCATTAATCATGGCGGAAAGTCCAGTCGTCTACACCATTGCCATGTTTAAATATGGAAGTTTATGGTAGCCCTCCATATTGTGAAGGCCCAATACAAGTAGAATCTCGCATTTAATTTCCATGTCATTCTTGTCATAATTTTTTTTTTTTTTTGGTCAAGGACTTTTGTTTCTATACCTTCTTTTCTCTGTATCTGGTATCTCATATCAAAGAAGTTTTGCATGATCTTTGATTTTTTTTTCTTTTCTGAAATCATTGCTTATGTATCAGCATAATCTCAACATCCAAATGAAGTTTTTATCCTTAATAGTACTTGCTCTCTACATGTATCAAAGAGCATGCTGTCTACTCCCATGAATGGCTTCCACAAACAAGTGCATTAATATCAATCTAAATAAAGATGGAAATGCATCATGTTGTATGCAATATATTCCTAAGATGGACTAGTTTTCTGGTGAAATATTCAGTTCCCACAACCAAAGGGGAAAAAATCAAGGGTCAAATATGGCTTTAATATTGGGGCATGGTAGAAGGAACACACCTCACTTGGCAGACCCCACAATCTACGGAGATAGAAATCTGACTGGGATTCAATGATGCCTGGGGGGAGCCTCTCAGCACCTCGAGGATTTGTTGGTACCCAAATCTGTGCATTACAATCACAGGGTGGAAGTTAATACTAGAACTGAATATTATGCCTAAAGAGTTTACGACATCAGACAGGAGTCAGTGCAAGTGTCATTTGAATATTATGTAACACAACAGAATAATTAAACAACCTAAAAATCTAGAATTTATCCTCTTAATTGTGCCTAATCTTCGGCAAGGAACAGACTGGAAAGTATGAGTACAATGAAGATATTCAACTCAACAGAGCCTTCTCCCATTTACGTGGGGGCCAAAGAGTTCAATTTACCATATTTCTCAAAAAAGGAGTAAAGTACATTGTTGAAAATTATACAAGATATGTTATGGTTTCATAGGACTTTCAATAGGGCCAAGCTAGCCCCAAACCCACCAGACAGAAAAGGGGATGAGGGGGGAAAAATAACAACAGTTCTGGAGCAGCAATGGTAAGGCAATACTTCTGATGCACTGCTCTTAATATATATCAACCGTCTACACCCAGATGCTCTTGCTCAACTAAAGTAACAAAAAAACGAGAGTACCTTTGTATCATTACGTTTGTGAACTTCATTCCTGGTGCCTCTGTTATGCTTCAGAGAAGACCAGATATTCAACAGTGCTTGGGTTGAGAGACCTGAGTACTTGTCCTCAATATATGTAAGATCAATGGAAGGGAAAATGGTGGATTTTAAGTTCATCTGCCAAAATTAAAAGCAAGCTGATTAGTTTTATTATTGGACAATAAAACAATAGATGCACATTACTTAAATATAAATATCAAAGATGTCCCTTGCAATTAGGGAGTGGGCTTGGGCTGGGGCTGGGGCTGGAGTTGGAATAAGAAAAGATTGAGTACCTTAGTTAATGACAGTGTTGGAAAGGACGCTCCCAAAAAGAAGCCAAAAATAATCCCAGCAAAAGTTGTTATAATGAGCCTCATTGTTTCATTTGTTCTTCTACTACTTCCACTGCATCCAAAAATTAAATCAATGTCTGCAAGATGCTGCTATTTTCAACAAGAAAAATTCTTATGAACTTGTGAAGGCTTCATTAGAAATCTTAATTATTTTAATAATGCACACAAACATATATAAATATATATATATATATATTTATATACAAATGTGTGTGTGTGTGTGTGTGTGTAGAGTCAGAACGAGAGAAGAAAGAAGAGGCCTTTGTTATTGATGGAATCGATTGTTTAGAGTTATGAACCTGCGTGGAGGCATCATAAGTCAGAGTCTTCTGATTATATAATCACAAATACATAAGCTGGAACCTGGCAAACAATAGTTGCTCAACATGCTAATCACATTCGAATTTTGCAGTGCTTTAAGAAAGAGAAAGACACCCTCATGGTAATAGGATTAACCCTGAAAAAAGAAAAACAAAAACAAAAACAAAAGCAAAAGCAAAAATTGAGATTAGATTTAAATCATACTTTTCCAGATTATGATAAACTAGAAAGATGCATCAGAATTCAAACTTCTGACTCTCTCTCTCTCTCTCTCTCAAAAATAAAAAAAGAGAAAGAAAGAATAAAGCTTTGCTAGAGTGTAACACTACATTGACTATTTTGATGTAACCTTGCATTGACTATTTCGAACCCAAATACAAGGCAGGATGCATGATGTGAGTGACCAGTTAGAAGTCTGCCCATTTTCTTTTGCGCATGTTTGATCCATTTTGGAACAAATTAATCAAAAGGTTTAATCAGAGATTTCATTATCTATTTGAGCTGAGCTGTCAACTAAGGTGTTACCACAATTGTCCATAAATGCATCTGAGCAAGAATCAAAATACATCTTGAACCACAGAATATGCAACTTACTGCCAATTACACATATTCGGAGAATCAAAATTTCAAAGATCTTCGCTCTGCAATCTTGTGGTTAACAACATTTCTATTCTATCATCTACCACATCATATAATCTTAGGTCCCTTTTGATCAAAACAAATACAAATACAAATACAAATAATGTTACATCAAAAAGAGATTTGATCAGTTAAGGGCACAACAATACACATATCGAAGCCTTTTAAAACTAATGTCCTTAGCCTTACATACAATCAAACCATCCAATGTAAACATTATTTGATCAAATGGGACCTGTGTGTAGAGTAGTTCAGTTCACGACAGCGAAATGTTATAACAGAGTTTAGCTGAACCAGACATTCTCAAAATTTGAACCCATGAAAGAAACAAACGTACAAATAAATCGAATTACAAATATATATATATATATATATATAGTTTTATTTTAATAAAATATATATAAATAATAAAGATTGGCTTACATCACAGAGAAGAGAGAGGGCGAGGTCTGAGCTCGAGAAACCCTAAAAGTCTGAGAATGCTGAGATTTACAACTCCGAATCTCCGACGATCCGAACGAGGCACAGTAGCAGTAACTGGCAACCCAACGTGTTGACACTTGGGGGTTTTATGAATGAAGAACCAAACAGGGTAGAAAGGAGGACCGATTAAACGGTGGAGTTTCCGAAGAAGGAGGAAGGAGAGGCGAATCCTGATTTTCTCGGAGAATTTTCTCGGGAATTCAGATTGCAGGAAATTGTTGAAATTGAAAATGAGTCTGGGACGATGCACTCGGAGCATAATTAATTAATAGGAGTAATAAACAATTTTATTGGGGACAGATCCTCTGTTCACATGTCTTAACTCAACAGTTTCTTAATCAGGTTTTAATTTATTTATTTTTTTTAAAGAAAAAATATAAAATTTTGAGAAAAAGCAAGGTTAAGGATAAAATAAGAAAAAAAGTTACCACATTTTTTACTAATGTGGGACCCACAAAATTTGATGTTCACTTTAAATTACATTATTATGACCATTTTTTGAGAATTTTTTACCATCATTATTATTATTATTATTATTATTATTTTTGTAAACTGAATGCAATAATAAAGGAGGTTACATAAGCCTGGGATAGCAGACACTCGAGCATCATCAAATAATTGAGTACAAACAGAAAACAGGAGGGGAGGGTAAGTTCAAAAAAAAAAAAAACACGAGGGGGAGGGTTGATAAAAATTTAAAAAATTTCAACTGTAGCCTTTATGTTTGTAAACAAATCAGCACAAGCATTGGCTTCCCGATAGATTTGATTAATTGTTGGTGCTTCGAGACAATTCAAAGGGTACCTGCAATCATCAATGAGATTATTAAGTTGATGTGAGTCTATGGTGCCACTTGCTAAGAATTGTTTGAGCAAGATTGTATTTGTTTCAATCTCTAAGTTAGAAAGATTCTTATCCATAACTAATTTAAGCTCATCCCTCAGAGCCCAAATTTCAGCAGCAACACTTGAAGTAACATCAATATTTTTGCAAAAGCCCACAATCCAATGACTTAAACGGTCCCGGACAAGGCTTCCTATAGAAGTTTTGCCTAGGTTTCCTTTTGAAACATCATCCATATTAAGCTTGAAACACTATCGATATTAAGCTTAAACCAACTCTCCTTAGGTAGACTCTAACTAATAGACACAAATCGCTGGACTTTTTGCAGGCGAGAATTTGAGAGATGCTGTCATTCGAATACCTGAGCGATAGCTATAGAAGGTTTAAAACATATGTTAGAATTGAAAATCAGAGAGTTTCTATTTTTTTAGATGAGCCAACAAGAGATAAGAAAAATGATAGATCACAAGGCTAAAGAATGATGGATGAGGGAGGTTTAACAGTTGAATTTAATCTAACCAGTGATATTGTAGTTAAAAGAATGACAAATATGAGAAGGGATACCAATAGAATTCCAAAAAGTTTGAGCTATTGGGTAGTCTCTGAGAGTCTCAATTTTGAGGTGGACCAAAAAAGTTTTTATCCTAATCCTATGTTGAAGTGTCAATTAGTGGAAGAATTTGACTCTAGAGATTGCTTTGACTTTTCAAAACCAATTCCAATCATTCAAAGGAGGTGCAGTGGGGAAGGATTTTAAGCCTCAGTTTGGGAAGTGGGTTGATTTTTTGGTTTTTTTGATTTTTTTGGCTATTTTAGTTTGGGTTAAAAAATTTGGTTTGGGAAGGATTTTTTGGCTTTTTGAATTTTTTGACTTTTTTTGTAAGAGAAGAATGTAATGATTATGGGTTGGATGTGATATTTTATTTTTTGTGGCTAAAATAGTCTATTTTGTCTTTTATGACTAAAATAGTAAAAAAAAACCCCGTTTAGCTCTTGCCAAACGGAGCCTTAAGCTGAACTATTAGAAAAGCTGTCATCACTTAACTTGTTCCAAATGACCATATTTACCATTATTTATGACCATATTTTGATGTCACTTTAAATTACATTAATTAAATTTTTTAATAGATTCTGCATGATATTAATATAAAAATTATTAACACATAAATAAATCATGTAATTAAACACAAATACTTTATGCACTTTAGGGGACTCACATGAATGTTTATGTTTTACTTATAGTAATTTTTTGAAAATATGTTTTCGTTTGCCTAAAACAAATGACTCTAAAAATAAAAGTAAAAGTTTTAAAAATCTTTAAAGAAAACAATAAGTCAATTTTTGTAAACTCTTTTATAAAAGTTAGTTTTTATTTTTATTTTTATTGTTCATTCTTAAAAGAAAATTATCATATCATCTAGTCTTAATAGATTTAAACAATATTTTAACTCAAAATTAAAAAAATAACTAAAAATAAAAATAAATTAATAAAAGGCAATCTAAAAATAGTGAAAGAGACGTACCACTATGAGCCATGCTATTTCGGCTTTGAATAATATTATATGTATCAATTAATGTATTAATTAATATACTAACAAATGATGTGACATAATTTTAAAAATTTTAGATACTTATAATTTATATAATAAGTGGGATCAGTAATAATGGTATAACATTAATTGATACACTAATATATATATTAATTGGTATATATAACACCACCGTTTGACTTTACACTGCTGGCCTATTTGATTTGGATTTAGTAATAGGCTTTCAATAATTTTAAAATGCTCTTTGTGGCCATTACATATAAACAAATTTCAATTTTTCGTATATTTTAAATCACTGGCTTTAAATATATTTAAACTAGCGGTAACTCGTGCTATCGGATTTTATAAATTTTTTAAAAAAAATCATTATAAATATGTTAAAGTAATTTAATATTTTATCTTGTGGTATACATAAAATTTATAAGTTAATTTTTATGTTTCTAACTTTTTAAATTATTAGTTTAAAAAAATTTAAAATATATATATAAATCTATTTAGTGCAATTTTGATAATTTGTAATTAAAAAAAAAAGAAGTTAAACATTAGTTATGATATACCTCTTCTTGTTATGAAAATATACAAATTTAAAAATTATAATTAAGATAAATATACAATTTTATTATTAAATGTGAAGTGAAGTAATATTTAACAATAATTGATATGATGTTTCTGTTATTAATCCAATCATTTAAATTAAATTTATTTTGGTCTTAATTTCATAACTAAAAATACAATATGAATATAATACGTACACAGATTTCTAGTCTTTAAGAATAAGAAGGTTTTAGAATATTTTTAATCTTTCATCATTTTCTTTGATTTATTTATTTATTTTTGTCTAATTTGATTTTAAATTTGAAAAAAAAAATGATTTGATATGAATTACTTTAACTTTTTCATTTAATTTTTTAATCAATTTTTAAAAGAACTTTCATTCTTATTCCATTTTTTTTTTCTTTTCATCAATTTTGATGAAAAAAATAATATAATTTCCAACGTTTCATCTTTTTAAATTTTTTATCAAATTATAATTCGATAAAAAAAATATTAAGGGTTGAAGATTTTATTAATTTAAATTATAATTAAATAACATCTTGAAATAGTGAAAGGTTGAGTATGTGGTTGGTTGAAATCTAATTTGATTAATTCTCTTCTCATATTTACATAAAAATTGACACTTATGACTACATCATTATAAGTCGGACTATGAAAAGTTTTTGGAGGTGTCAAATATTTTTCATTTGTAAATATCCTATCTATTAAAAATAATAATAATAAAAGAAAAAGGAAAAAAAATATGAATCTTTTGGATATATGTTTATCAATTTTGTTTTGTAGACATAAGCAACTGGTGTTTTAATTTAAAAAAATTAAAAAATATAAAAAAAAAATAGATTGGGTTTTTTGGGAATAAAAAAAGTCATCTAACTCCTCTATATACTATTTTAATCACATAAAAAAATAAAAATTACATTTAGAGATTATCCCTATATATTATGCTATTATGTTCAAATATAATGGTAATAAATTAATTAATATATATGAAAAGTTATACTAAACTTTCATTTTCAATTAATTGAATTATGATTAACAAACTAACAAATAGCAGTACTGGTATAATAGGATATAAAGAGGATAAAAATAAAAAATACAATAATATTTAAAAGTTTTAAATTTACCTAGTTATACAAAAATTTAATGTTATAATATAATCTTAAATTCTCAATAAATTTTTACATTTTCTACAAAATAAAATGACAATAAAAAATAAAAAATAAAAACATCGATACCCATTTTTTTAATTCAATTTTTCAATTTCGCATTGAAAAAAACAAAAATCGATCAAAATCATTGGCACATAATGAGCATAGATACTTCGATTGCAACCATCATCATCAATAATTCTTCTCCACCATGTAAACCTGTAAACAAACACATACATCTCACTATAACTGAAACCAAAACCAAACCTACAACAAAGAAACAGAATCACACCGGAAAAAAATAAAATTAAAAAAATAAATAAATTTATGGAGTGGTAGGATATTACCCTCAATAACTTAGACCTCGCCTCACCTAATCCGTCAGCTCCTCCGCCAGTGTTTGCGAGGTCTAGGAATTGGGATGACTAATCAGATTATTCTTTAAATAAGACTTGAAAATTGATTAATTTGTCCCATTAAGTGATTTAAAATTTTGATAGATATACATCAAAAAAATAGATAATTATATTATTAAATCATAATTCAAATTTAAATATTGTCATATCCTTTTGAGATCTATATTTAAATTCTTATCTTCTTTATTTTTGTGTGATTTCTATTTGGGGTTTTTTTTTTCTTCAATTTATTTAAGATGAAGTTGTGGGTTTCTATTTTTTTAAAAATTTAATTTATCTATGGTTTCTATTTGTTTTTAATTATTATTATTTAAGTAAGTTATGATGTGAGCTAGATATGCGATAGATATGTGAATTTTATTGATTTAAAGTATGATGGTGTGAGATATATTAGATTTGTTTAGATAGATTTTAAATATTTTTAAAATTTAAAATTGGATATTGAGAAGCAAAAGAAAGATTTTAACTGAATAAAAAAAATTTATATTTATTAATTTTATCTGTTTGTATATCTAACTTTTATTTATTTTTTTGTTATGTTATAATATAATGAAAAAAGATTATTTGATTTTTTGAGGGAGAGAAAAGAAAGGCAAGTTTTAATATTTTCTCTTCGAAATCGATGAGAGAAATTAAAATGGAGAGATTATGAAATATTTTTATTAACTTTCCATTTGAAATCCATAAATTAAGGTATAATTATTTTCAAAATAATAAAATAGATATGAGAGAAGTTGAAAAGGTGAAGGAATTATTATTTC